AAAATATTCTAATAAAGGCGTTCTCAGAGTAATATCATCATGACTCTTAAAGTCATGTGCGGTAGCAATACCAAACCAAATACGATGAGTAGTGGGGTCTTGAACTAATCCTTGGCTAAACCTTGGAAATGGTAATGCCATAATGCTTTTCAAATCCTCCCTAGCCATTATCCCTCTTTGCAATAGTTCTTGCTAAGAAGAATGCCCATGTTGTGAAAATTCCACCCCAAAGGTAATGGGTTACTCCAATAGCACGTCCTTATATAATGCTCAAGGCTCTCGACTGAGTAGCAGGAGCAACTTTTAATTTATTATGAACCCAAACGATGGATTCAATAAGTTCTTGCCAATAACCATGCAGCTAAATAGAAACATTAAACTAAGCCCGGACAAAATGAGCACCTAGGAAAAAAAAGGCCATATGCAGAGAATGAAGAACCATAAAATGAATTACACAGGATACGTACCCGTAAAAATCGTGGAGCCACCCATTAATAGTAATACAACTCTGCACAAAGTTTCCTCTGGTGAGTTACTACCCCTTGATCACTTACAACTTGCCCCAAACATCTAAGGCATTTTCAAACTAAAATGGAATATTACTAGAAATTCAATTGTACATCAAGAATATTCCTTAGAAGACATGATCTTGGCCCGAATAGTGACATGTACCCCCTCTTCGGGTCTATCACAAGGAAGCGAAAACCAAGATTTGCTTTATCCGATGTCAAAACGAGGCTGAGAGCAAATAGAACACCTTTCAAGAGTATCCATGCATCCCACGTAGATCGTAAATGCATGAATGCTTGATGTGCAGAAAATCGATAGCAAATAATAAGAAAACATATCTTGAGGGCCTTACAAAGTGCTCATGGTGTCATTTTTGAATATGCAAACCAAGACGCTGAAAGCCTAGAAATATACATACTTGATTGACATGGGATATGATTGCATCACGATTCCTAAGAAACAATCTAATAGATCGTTGTCTGAGAGTAGTTGGATCATAATATCTTACCATAAAAACTGACGCGGAGCGCCAACTATTCAATCCACCAATCGGCAGTAGCGGTTTGTGAGCAGTAAGCCGATTGTACCATAGTCATTAGCTAGATACGGATGGGGGCATGGGATACATATGATGAGCTACAACATTGGTTAAAGAGCGTAACATAGCTAAGTTAAGAGATAATTGAGCATGCCATGACGTTGTTAGGATCTCATATAGGGCTTTATGGCCCTAACCTATAAATGGCCCTTTATGAGCTTCTAAAATATCTTTTAGTCCATGACGATACCCCACATTGAGATACCTTACATGTGACCGCTATCGGGAAAGAATTGCAATAGCTAAATGATGATGGGCAATTTCGGTCGGCCACGAGACCCCCAATTACTGGATCTAATCCTCCATGAAAAGTAAGAAGAATCATATTTTACCAATTCTAGGTGAAAATGGGGTTGTTCCCTCGGCAAGCGGGATAAAGTGAGCCAAAAGATCTCGATTCAAGATAAATTCATGAGGAAGTGATATCTCTTAGGATCTACTCCAGCATTTGAAATTGGTTAATGGTAAAGATACATGTACTTGATGCCTTGAAGACCCGAGTCTAGTAGCCACACTTGAAATGGTGATTCAACATAGATTCTACATCTTTAAACCAAGCCAATTTTAGGCGCAAGCTTATATGATAATGAAACCAACCGGCAAAAAGCATTATGGCTTTGCAAACCTGTGCCAAATTCTTTGTACAATAGAGTTGCTTAATTCAGTTATTCCAGGATGCTGCGCCAAATGCGAAAAACATAGAGGTTATTTGTATTCCTCGGAAACCCCCGCCTACGTCATCATTTAATGTTTCTTGGCCCACTATTGGCCAAACCACCTGGAGCACTAGGCCCAATTTGGGTTGGATCACATATCAATGCTTCATAATTAGAAAAACAAGCCTTTGTGGAAATACATGCTGCTCGGCCAAAAGAAAGATGATGGAGAGATGACGAGAATTTGCACTAAATACTTTTCGAGAGATCTCCAAATCCAACTTTGTTATGGCTATTGAAATTATTGAGCATCAGCATGTAGGTTCAGATTCAAGTGGTAGTATTAGGACCTTTAGCTATTGTTCTTGGCCAGGTCGGCCCATTCCTCGAAAGAAGTTTTACGGGATCCACACATCTGCAAAATTTTAACTTACGGTTAAATGAAAAAATAATCATAAGTCCTCCTATTTCCGAGACAACACATACAAAGAGACACATAGAGTCAAATAATTAGTGAACCTTAGAAGAGATAGAGAGATATTTCTATAATTAGTTTGTTTCTCTTCGATTTTCTATCTCCCATCTATCTATTTTCTTTAGTTATTTACTAGAACGGTATGATGAAATTCGATCGGGGAAAGTGTTGAATCTATTATGACATATGCAAGGCTCAGCGGACCTTTTATCCTTTTAAAAACCTTTTTGGGCTTTTGGATTGATCCAAAAATGACTTTTGTGCAACCTAATGTATATTCATAGAAGTTATTAGATGGGCTACGTAATTTTTTTTACCTAGAAGATTTTAGTTACTACATTCCAAATCATAGGAGCAGCCATTAGACATTACTAAGAGACATCCCAGTATATATATATATTTAGTGATTCGAGGTTTTCTTTTATTAGTTTTAATAATAAGAATTTTGTTTAATTTAATATATAAATATAATAAAAAGAAGTCTATTTTGTACTCTATATGTGTATCCGTTTTTGTTCCTAAAAAATATGAGATGAAATAAAAGTGAAATAGAAGGCTTAGAAGGGGATAATGAAATTATGTGATTGGGTCTTCCAAAAGCAAAAGGAATGATCCATTTTTTAGTTAAGCGGCTCGATTGGTCAGCCAAAATATAGTATAACAAATATCTAAATTCTAATAAAATAATAGATTAAGATTCTAAATATAGGATAATAAATAAGCAAGGTCTTCTTTTATTCGAAACATCTCGTGATCTTGACGAATTATGCGCTTCAACATAATTAGGAGTAGCGCTATAGGCCAGTTTCCAATACTCGATTGGCTTGATCGAACCAAGCCTGCAATTTGAGTCTCACATTGAATGGCGTTCTCCCACGAACGAATAGGTAGTTCAATTCCTTCCTTAGACTTGTAGTTGAGAATTTCTTACCTCATACATTTCCAGTGGTTAATTCTTTTGGTGTCCCATTTTGATCTATACCATATCTAATAAAATCATGAGATTTCTCATGGATCTATCGATTTAAGTTAACCAAAAGAAAAATAGGTTAATTACATGATTTCAAGTGGAAATTTGGATGATAATCCGTTTATTTAGTTTTATCTTTTTTCCTACCTTCAAAAGAATAAAGCATAGGCATTTCTACTAGTGTTAGAATTTTATGAAAGGTAACTATCTTGGTTTCATAGATAAATTTATATAGAATTTTAAGAAATGACTTTTTTTCATAAGAAAGAACATACTTACTATCTGGTATACGATCCTACACCTGTTTGCTCCAAGACTTTGAGTGGATCGACTCTATTACCTAAGTTAATTCCTAATTTTTATCTCACATCATGAGATAAGTCTGCTTGATTATTATTATATCGGCCCAAAACCTCGCTAATTGATCTTTACAGTAAGCTTACTATCTATCAATTAAAACCTTATATCTATCCATAGAAAAAAGTTGCTAAGCATTTTTATTTTTTCTATTTTGCCTTCTATGAAGTTTCTTTCTTTGCCCTACAGTGATAAAAATCATTGTTTTAGATGATGCATATGTAGAAAGCCTATTTGGTTCTAGTAGTTACTTTACTAGATTTTTCTTTTTTCTTTTACGTAGTGGAGATAGTGTGTGTGACGGATCATGGACATATAATTAGAAACAGTGGTAAGAATGGGTTTCGTTCTAGTGCTAAAATAATATTCCAAAGCTTTTGTATGCTCTCCATTACTTGTATTGGATAAGCCCTATATTATAGAATTATATTCTCTCCTCGCGGTGAGAGAAATGAATAATATATGAAATAAAAAAAAGATCAAATGTACCATCTACATAATAGGTAAATGCACATTTTTCTCACGAAAGTTTTAAAATTACTCGGAATAAGATATTGGCTACAATTGAAAAGGTACGTCAATAAAATTTCCATTTATTCGTGATGCAGGCATAGGTAGCGTCCATTCTAGAATTATTCTCATTACCTCTCGTGGAAAAAGATCCCACGTAGAAAGAATTGTATAGTACGAAATAACATAAAAACTTCTTTTTTTAATAAAAAAGATATGAATCCTCTATTCCAATTGTTCCTTTTTGACGAGGAATCGATAAAGAAATAGAAATATTTCAAGGCGATTCAATTTCGTACTAATGTAGTAGTATAGGAACTATTCCAATTTCGATGGTTACAAATTAGAAGAACTCGAGAAATTTTGATTGAATCATGATTCAAATTACTAAGAACAAAAAAGATCGAATAATCATTCTATGATGAAAATAGAATAATTGCCAATTTTGTGTACATACTTGGTATACACTATACAATCAAATCTAAATTTGTTTATGAATTTCGATTCTAATAGAAGGATAGGTATTTGTTGTTGAGAACTCCAAAATCGAAAAGGAATTTGAAAACTTTTCGGGTATGGAATCTTAGTCTATATAATTAGAATTATGATTTAAGAGTATCCATTAATTGTAGTCTAAAAGATATAGACCATCAATTAGTTGATTCGTTCTAATTCATTGAATTAATCCATTAGAAAAATATCGGAAAAGGAGGAACGTTTTTTCAAACATGAATTTCATTTTTAAACAATTTTCATAAAAATTGTATCTTTATCTGGAGCCTTGAAGGAAAGAAAAATGGTTCTTTTCTTTTACTTTGATCAAAAAAAATTTCGGTTAAAATGGGTAGTGCATTGCCTATCGATAATGGTATATGGATTATGGTGACTCGCTATTCACTCGGTTTTGGGATTAATCATTATGTAGGAGAGATGGCCGAGTGGTTCAGGGCGTAGCATTGGAATTATGTAGGCTATTGTTTCACAGGGTTCGAATCCCTCTCTTTCCATACACCTTCGCTTAATTCACTAATTTTACTAACACGAGGACTCAAAAAACAATGGATACCATTATTCCAACGGCTAGACCCTTCTTTTGATCTAAAGATAACAGATTCTCAATTCCTAATTAGTGTCAAGCGTAAAATAGAATACTAAAAAATAGTCATAATCAAAATATTGGAAAGAAAAGAGTAGACAAGGAATGAAAAGTCCTTGGTCTATGATACAAAAATGAGCGAAATCCGAGATCAAACTCGGTTTATCTTACTTAACTTATTGGGTTAATTTACTTCGCGTAAAGGGAAGAATATTTTGAACCCTTGGTTTTAATCTAAGATTTAATTCGAGAATAATATTCTACGACTAGCAATTCATTTATTTTCAAGCGAGCCCATTTACTATCTATTATTTGATTAACTAATCACTTTATATTAGGAATGGGTGAAGGTCAAATGATTTGTTCATTCCTCATGAGGGGATGAATCGAGAGAAATTTGAATCGAAGCTCACGAATTTTTGTTCGGCCTTTCTTGTAATAATTTCTCGAGGTTTGCGAGAAATAACTTGGTATATCTCTTATACGATCATTAACTAAAATATGGCGATGGTAACTAATTGGCGAGCTTCGGGAATAGTTGAAGCCATACACAATTTAAAAAGGATGTTATCCAAATGCATTTCAAGTAATTGTAGTAAAACGTGACCTATTGACCCCTTGGCTTTTCTTGCGATACGGACGTATTTAAGTATTGTCATTACGTAGACCATAATAAGCAAAATTTTTGTTTTTCTTCTACAAAATACGATATTGAGATTTTTTCCGGACCGCCGGTGGTTTCTAAGGTCACTTCGATCCTAGGCTTTTTATTAGTTAGTCTTGGTGAAGACCCCGGGCGGCGTATTTTTTGAAATGAGGTCCTCGGTAAAGCGACATAAAGACTCCTTATTCTTATTTCTTATTTAGTACTTCAAATTAATTCTTATTTACATTTATTTTATTTTTTGGTAATTTTATTTTACATATATAAACCTAAACTAAGAAACTAAACTAAATTAAATGAAGTGAGCTGCACAGTGCACGGGCCTAAATTAAGTCGATTAAATTCTAGTAGGGCACCGAGTACTTGTCAGTTTACTCTGTGCCCAGAGGATTTGTGGACTTAGTGTATGCAGTGTTATTCATTTTGTGGCCTTGTCGGCTTTTTATTGTTTGGTTTAGCATACTCATAGCCTTGTTTGCATTTGATTTGTTTATTTTTGTATTGTTGAGACATTATAGGTCGGTTTGCACTCCGAGTTGATTGTGGCCAGGTGGCACGGATGGCCTAAGTGTTATAGTTATAGATGTCATAGAGCGAACTTTAGATGGATTGACATGTGAGAAGCCAATCACGCCCTCCCACTTGATTTTGGGGGGCGTGACAAGCTGGTGTCGAGACGAGTCATATCCCGGGTAGTCCACAAGCCATGTCGAGTAGAGTCTTGCTTATGTGTATGTTGTGCACCATACTTATAATCGAGAGCTACGAGGACATTTAGGAGTTGTTTCACTTGGTTCATTAATAGATCATTTTATAGAGAAAAGATTTAAAAGGTGTTTGAAATCTAAATTGTGGTTACGTTTAAATTTTTGGAGTAAGGCAAGTAGCTATGAGATTTATAGAAGCACTAATGTTTTGAAGAGGGTCCCAATCGCCCTCTAGATCGAGAAATAGATTAGAGGCTCGAAATGAGTTTCCCATTCCTCATACCATAGCTCCTCAGTTCCGGTCAGTAGTTTTTCATGACGACAAGGAGCGGATAGTAGACACGGGACAAGCAACCCCGAGAGACCCCAACTCGACCCATGGCACATGCATACAACTATTCTCAATTTAACAAGCGGGGCATTAAATATAAAACATAGCGGAAGCGTAACCTTAGCATAACATTGAGAAATATTGGATGTATAGAAAATGAAGTATTACATACTAGTAAAAGCCTCAACTACATACGATGGGTTGATGGGACAACATCCCCAAATAACCCGAACAATGCGAAACTCAAGATAACATAAAAAGTCGTCAAACAACCCTCGGTACATGAGGACTCTGTGAACTAATAGGAAGTATGTTGAGATGGACTAAGGATAAAAGGCTTGAGCACGAGATCAGGACCTGTCATGAAACGATACAACATAAAAAGTATGCGGTCGGTACGTGGAATGTCTGGTATGCGAGTAAGTAAAACCATGAAGTAATATAAATCCATTTAAGCAATTTATACATATATCATAAACGTAAGGATAAGAAGACTACGTGCATTCATTATGAAATCATACTCATATTACACATGATGGGTCATGGGCTTTAGAACATCATGGTATTTCGAATGACTCAGGCTGAAACATGATATTTATATCAAACGCAAAACCACGAGTCAAACCTTAGTTCTTATTTTATGCATGCATAAGCTAATCATCTTGAATAGTGAATATGCAAATGTGAATGATATAGACAGTGGGAGACTTCGTCACTCAATTGAAATACCACGATAGAGCTTACGTGGTCAGACTATCACACTCAAGTGGGTAGAGCCATCGTAACCTTGCAAGAGCGATGAAAGATACCATGATATAGATATCAAGCTGAGGGACAGTGGAAGTAGGGGATAACTCACAAGGGAGGTCAGATATTATAATATATCAACCTACGTTGGTGTAGCGGATTACAGGGCATAGGTTAATCGACCCTTAACTCTCTCGGTGCTAGACTCTTCTCCCGAAAACATCCAATTCTCTACATCATATATATTGAAGCTCAACATGAAATCCACGCATGACTCAACATGGAAATACGAAATAAACTCAACATTGTCTATTGACAAATCTCATTAAAGAAATCATGCATAGATTGGACATCTTGCAGCCCAGAAAATGAAGCTCAACATTATCCTTCGACAAAGCTCAATAATTCCATACATCTCAATAATAAATTCATGTATATGAGAAGATTTATTTTGAAACACCACTACAAACTCAATGATAGGTGGGAGAAATCTACTCAAATCATGTGGTAAGCTACATGTAGAAATATTTACTCGACATACCACAAGCTAGAATTTATATCAGAATTGAAATTTCTCTTTCCATGATGTGGTAAACTTATGTATTTGAATATCATCGCTTTTATCAACATGTGGGCATTGCACGGAGCTTTATCATACTAGGATCTACACACTCTTATTTGTTGAAAATGACATCATAATCATGGGTAGCTTTAGAAATATGCTTTTCCTTTCAACTTCATCATTATCACACATTTACCATAAGCGGCCACCTTTTATGAACTCTTCACCCATGGGAGTTTGGGTCGAATTTTAGAAAAACAATTTTTATAAAAACAGTTAGAATCCACCCAAGCTTGCCAAATCATCATCATCAACTCAATCTAATCATACCCAAGAATAGATATATAAGAATCATGCGATTGATCAAAACCCAATAATTGATCATTCATAATTTAAAACTTAGTGATAGGAATTAGGCATGGGTGTTAAAGGAAGACATCCATTAAAACCCTACATACCTGGAAATGGATTTACTCAAAGTTCCATGAATACCCACCAAGAAATTGATGTAAACTTGGGGAAGAAGACCTTGAATCTCCCAAAAATCTCTCTAAAGTTCTTGCATGAGAATAGGCATGCATAAAGGACTTAAATCATCTTATCACACTCGAAGAAAATATCCAAAAGCGATGTAGTTTATGGTACAAAGCATGGAAAATTCGAAAATTCCCTTAATGAACCTACTGGCGGCGGATAGAACCCGAGGTAGTATCAATAGGTCATGGAAACAATCCATGGCCCATGCTTTGTCACCAGTTGAAAACCTTCTTCAAAGCCCATTCTCGGAATCTTACCACGGACACCTGGGATGGATCGTCCTAAGCTTGATGGGCCGTTCCTTTGGTGGTTGTTTCCTTATACAGCTTCACCTTTCATTCCACGAGTCTCGCACGACTCATTGCCAAAAGCTTGGCGGGTCTTGGTTCCACACACCCATTGTCTCCACTTCTGACAGTCCCACAACCCCTACCCATTGCTAACAGCGGAGTTTGTCATTTTGTCGCGATAGGTCGTTGTAACCTGGATTGTTACTTGACCATCTAGGTTGACTCCTTACCATGACCACCACGATGGCTCGTTGTTTCTTACAAAGGGTCGTCGAATCAACCATTGTTCCCGACATCGAACTCCCGAACCCACGACCACAAGCATTTTGTGGTTACTTACCCTTGGTCGTGGTACCTATCGTTCTGCAACCTTTTCCCAACTTTTACTTGAGTTTGCATTTTAGCTTCCGGGTCTACTCTAAGCACATTTGGTGTATTACGGAGTTACTATGGGAAGGGGTCATCCCTCTATTGTTTCGAGTTTTGTTAGGGTCAAGAGAAGGTGATTATTGATCCTTATTTTTGTGTGCCTTTAGGTATATCAGGACGAGATTTTGAAAAAGCATTTCAATGTTATCAGAAGTATTACGTTTCAAAATCAATAGTTGAAATTAATGTATGCAGGTCTAAGGAACTTTTTGAAACTCTAGTTTCCCATAGGTTTTGAGCTAAATCCGCTATCCAATGGATCGGTACTTTCCATGGGAACTCCAGTAGTTCGAGTTAGTAAGCTTTTGTAGCTAAAGCGGGCGGCATGGTATTCACGAATATAGTATCGAGTTTAGCCGACAGCCCCGATATGTTTCAAATAGGGTGCGGAATACAAGGGATACAGTATATCGATTGTATTAGTCGGGACCCCATCTGGCAGAGTGTTTTGAATGTCTACCCAAGCCAATGTCTATTTCTTGGATGCTAGTATTTTTTCAAAAGGCGGACGTCTGATTCTCATCTCCCAAATAATGACAAAGAAGTAGAACGGAGTAAGAAAACCGGGTCGATAACACTATTTAAGGACCTTTGTAGTTCTTAGAGACCAGGCCGATTACTTTGTCCTTGGATGCAGGCCTACG